CGAGTTTGCAGGCGTCTGAACGTTCGGAGTGAGAAATAATAATAACAAAAGACAGTCAATATTATAACTTATAAATCGGAGATAGTCTAAATCCTTTTATTGAATCTTTATTGTTCCACAAATCTTCTCAAATCATCCAAAATTGTTGTTTCTTCGCTCAGCACCCTCACCTTTCATTTTCTTTAGATTATCAAAAAAGAAAAAAAAAGAAAAAAATATGGAGTATTAGCTTCCCCAAGCCTCATGAAATCATTTGCATTCTGATATTTTTCTTCTTTTGATGTACATTTTAGAATATTTTTGTGAAAACAAAAGGAGTAATCTGGTTCATGTGTTTGAATAAACTTACATTGATATTTTAGCAGCGTGTGGTAGATTTAGGTTCCCATACTTAAAAAGATTGTTAATTTTCCTCACCACATAGTTTTGAACTGCCCTTCGTTTTCGAAGCGAGGTGATGCTTTTGAGGCCTTCCAAAACCGAGCATTTCCCTCCTTCGACATTATCAGGGTCTCCAAAAGCCCCTATGAAGGCATCATTCAGCTCAATGGTAGCCTCGATAACGACCTGGCGAATGGCGGCACCAATGGTGGGATCCAAATAGGTTTGTGCGGTTGGTTTGATTACCCCAGAAGCCTTAGTGGGGTAGTAGAATCCACCAAACTGTGAGAAATGATATTGACGGAGCTGGTTAAACAAGGCTTCAGCCTCCGCACACTCTTTAGTGATGTAGTTTAGCTGCCGCCGTGCCTCTGCGAGTTGATTGATCCCGCTTTTTTCCCTGTCGTGTGGGATCTCGCCTTCGCCTCCCACGATAACTTCTTGGATAGGATGAAGGGGAGCGGGTTGCGGGGGGCCTTTTTTAAGTGCCTCCAACTGCCTTTTAAGCAGCTCATTACGCGATTTGGCGGCCTCCAACTGCCTTTTCTCCATCGTCACAAGGCGCTGGAGATATGCTTTAGAGCGAATGGCCTCCGTCTGGTGCTGTTGAGCAGCGCTTGATTCGCGATTTAATTTAATCAGATCATTCACAAGGTATTCCGGGCTTTTATCGCCCTGAATCACCGATCCCAAACTTCTATCCTTGCCGGTTGTTGAACCCACACCGCCTTCCGTGGAGTCTGTGAAGAGGGATGCCGTCAGCTCCTCGGAGGTCCGCATTAGCGTGGCCACCATCTCGTTCAACTCCTGGTTGTGGATGGTATTGGTTTCTTCCCTTAGACGCCGAATCTCTCGGACTGCGGTTTGATGCTCGTCGTAGTAGGCGTCCTTCACCCTTTCGCATTCCGCCAGGCTGGCGGTTCGCTCTGCAAAGCTTGCCTTGATCGTGCGATCGTTCGCCGCGAGCTCGGTAAGCCCCCGGAGCTCCTCAGCGATTTCGTCCAAAAGTTCCTCCCCGCTTGCGGTTAGCTCGGCGATGAGGGCGTCGTCCAGTTCGCCGATCTCCTTCCGTAAGGTGGTGAGGGCGTTGGCGAGGCGGGTTTGCGCGGCCGCCTCGTGTGTGTTCTCCGCCTGTTCGAGGGCGCGGAAGTCCTCCAGAAGACCCTGCGTGGCGCGGGCCTCGGCCTCGGCGGCCCGCAGCCCCGTTTGGGCCTTCTCCCACGTCTCGACCAGTCGCTCATAGGGGGGGTGGCGGTGGGGGTCGTGCAGAGGGAGGGGGGCGGCCTCGCGGAGGTCCCACTGGATGGACAGGGGGGCCTCCGACAGCGTAATAGAAGGGGGGTCCACCCTGCCAAAGGACGGGGCCGCGGCACTAATAGGATCCCAGGCCCAGTTCAACTCCCCTTCCTCACATGGGGGCTCCGGGGCCACGAGCTTCAGCCGCGGCTCCGACCCTCCTTTTCCTTTACGGCGCTTAGGGGGGTTCGTGGGCATCGCGCGCGATTGTACCGGGATATCACAACGGGGAAACAACTAATGGGAGTAGTGACTGTACCGGAATGTTACAACGGGGAAACAACTAATGGGAGTAGTGACTGTACCGGGATGCAAGAGGAGGAAAGGAAAAAGAGGGGGTTTAACAACGGCTATGACATTCGAGAAGTAGCCGATCCCATAGCGAGCGCACTGAAGAAGACACAGAGATGGCGAAAGCAGGGCAACCTCTCCCTTATGCATTGGTAGGTTCCCCAAAATACATATAGTGAAGACAAAGCAGGATTTTTTTTTTATGGATGCGATTATTCACATAATACTAAGACTTTTATTAATAATAATAAAAAAATGATTTTGATTATACTTAGGTTACATTTTTTTTTGTTTTTACTATGAGGACTCCCCAGCAGGGTTTAGATCTCCACGCCGCATTCAGCACATTTTTTTTCTAAACTCAGATTTTGCGAGCGCCGCTGTTCGAATCGCCTTGACATCACTTCTTTGAGTGTTTGCAAACGCGCATTTTCTTCTACCGCGGCTTCCAAATCCTTTTCACTCGCCGCAGATTTATAGAAATAATGCGCCAAACGCAGCGAATTTATCAACTTTCGCCTTTCCACCTTCGGATCGCGCTCGGTATAGGTGGATAAACATGCCAGGTGCTTTTGCTGCTGATCCTCGACAAGGCGTGTTAAAGAGGTGCATAATTCATTTTTGACGGTGGAAAGTAAATTTTCCCGCCCTTCACGATCTCGAGAGATCGCTAAAGTCCTCGCGTGCTCGATAGCTTCTTTCTCGAAGCTATCTAAAGAATCTTCCTGTTTTGTATAAAAGGCTAGTAAATTCTCTAGATGCTCTTGACAGATTTCTAAGGAGTGTAGAGTTGACTTGATTTCGGCAACTAAAGCGTCCCCACTCGACATTTTTTAAATTCTTAAAAGAATGAACGAGCTTCCACAAAACTCACGAACACAAAAAGGTTACAAGAGGGATATGAGAAAGCTTAAAATAGGGATAAATATTTCTTTTTGCCATAGAAAGAAAAAAAAAGGAAGAATGCTAAGGCCATGAAAAAAGTTATAATAATAATAATAGAAGCATTCAAAGAATATTAGATCTGTTGTAAAACGCCACATAACTAAAACAGAGTAGTTTTTCTTTCATATTTTTTATTTTACCATTTTCAGAGAATTGGCGGCATCTCTTTACTACTATGGACTAAACCAGCTACAGTGTACATCGAATCTTTCACTCGTAGTATGAATTAAGAGTGATAATGCAAAAACTATTTTTTTTATTTAAAAAGGGGAAGGAGATAGAGACAGTATGAAAAAAAAAGTTGAGTTATGTAACTCCAATATATCATATGCCTCTTTGTTTGTGTTTTTACCAACACATGAATAAACTACACAACAGGATCGTGAGCACACATATACATACACAGCCCCCCTCCTCAAAAAAAAAAAAGGAAAGGGAAAGCCCACAAAGAGTTTTCCCTTCCCCCCTCATGAGTCCCCCCCTTCTCTTCCAAATTCGGGAAAGACTTCTTTTCAATCTGGCGCGTTTTTGGAGCAGTTTATCGTATCTACGTTAAAACGCATGCTGAAGCCGTCGAGGCCTTTGGCCGAACACCCCTCCGACCTCGCGAGGGCGGGAAAGACGGATTTGTTCTGCCGCGCCTCCTCCAGATGTCGACCTCGCGCGTTTTGAAAATAGCGATAAATATCGTGCAGAACGCCATTCCCGGCGGGATGGTGCCGTCGGTTTGCCGTGAAGGAGGCCTTCGCGGGTGCGGGCGAGGCCGCTGGGGAGGAAGTTCTCGTCAAGGAGGATTGCTTTTTCATCGCGTGGTGTTGACTGAGCCGGTGGCGACTTCGCCGGCGCTCATGCCGCTCCATCAGCTCACCCACCTCGTCGCTGAGTTTGTCGGTCAGGCGGCGGATCCGCTCAGACGTGGTCGGGCGCTGCTTTTCAAGCCTTCTCGGGATCTCCTCGACGTAAATGTCGTTCGAGATCATCACGACAGGGCGTTCGGCCTCGCCGTCGCCTTCAATCGGGGACTCTTTTGGCTTTTGAAGACTTATCCCTTCGCTCTGGGCCGTCTGCGAGGACTCCACGACGGAGGTTTTGTGGACGATCTGCAGGGACTCGAAGTCCTGCGCCCTGCCCGACTCCACGAGGAGCCCGACGAGGGAGAAGTCTTTGTCAGATTGCATGACTGAATAATAATAATAATAATAATATATAAGAAAAAATCAAACCAGAAAACCCAAAAGAAAGAAGGAAACACGAGATAGCCGGATTGGGCGACGAAGGAAGTGAAAAAAAAGAAAAAAAGTACAGGTCTTTGAAAAAAAAGTGACAGTAACTTGAGCCTATTGTTGTAACCACGGCATAAATTTTCAAGTTTATGTTTCCTTTGAATAAGCGTATGAATTTGTGGTAAAAACATGAAGAGATGAAGCGTTTTTTTTTATTGTTTAGAAAAAGGGGAAAGCGTTTGGAATTAGATTGCAATAGGAATAAACCGTAGAGATATCAACTAATTCAAATAAAGGGTAGCATGATTACCGTTTTTTTTTTAATTTTTTTTTGGGGTATGTGTAGGTGGGTTTAATAGTTAGAAGTCTAAAAGCCTGTTGACTTTAGCATAAAAGATTATACATGCCGTTCATGTGCAATTTAGATTGCCGCAGAGAGAGATCATGGCTCATCCGCTCGAGGTTGGGGCCTCTGCTGCTTGAATAGCATTGTGGTTGTTGTTGGAATTGCGGAGGGGACCCCCCCCCTCCGTTATCTATCTATCTATACACACACAAATACACCCCTTCTGATCGATTGATCTATCTCACTTTCTCGCGATGGTGAGTCGTGTGAGTTCGATACCTTTTCTCCTCATGCCACTTTTTTTCTTTCCCTGCCCCCCCCCTCCTCTTCATTTTCCTCAAACCATAATGCCCTCCTGGGGGAGCTCCAGGCCCGGGGTGAGGGGCATCTCCAGCGCCCCCACCTCCTCCGGGCTTTTTCGCTTTTGCGCGTAGACGGCGGAGTAGTCGTCGTCGGGGATGTTTTCCATCGAGGCCATATCCATCCCGCAGGCCGCGGTGACTTTGAGCGGGATCTCGATGCGAACCCCGGGAAAGCGATCCGGGACGTAGTTCGCAAGGTCGCCGAGGATTCGCCGGGTATCCCGCACGCATTCCTCGAGGACGTCGAGATGGCAATCCATCCAGACCGAGTCGTGGACGAAATTTGTCAAAAAGGCGCGGTTTTGGTAGAAGTTGTTGGCCATAAAATGGCGAAAAAGCCGGCCGAGCATCATTTGGGTGAGCTCGGCGCCGTAAGCCTGGATGGGGTAGTTTTTCACCGCCGGCAGGTTCAGCACGACGTCGTGGGTTTTAAAATTAACGCGAAGCCCCGTCGGGAGCTCGACGATGTGGCCGGTGGGGAGGCCCGGATTCTTCGCGCGCAGGGCGACGGCGCGGGTGATGTGATGAAATCGGGCGATCCCGGGGTATGCCACGGCCTCCTCGCGGATCGACGCCACGAGGTCCTTGACGGGGATGCCGGTTGTTCGGTGGAGTAAAGCGACCCCCGCGCCGTAAAGCCGCTGAAAGGAGAACAGCTTGGCGGTCCGGCGGAGTTGGACGTAGCGAGGGACCCCGCGGCGGACGCCCTCGTCGATCTCGCGGTAGGGCAGCCCGCTAAACGCCGCGGCGCGGCGGACGTGGAAGTCAACGCCGCGCGCGAGGTCGCGGCTGAGGCCGGGGTCGCCGGCGAGCACCCCCAGCACCATCACCTCGAGCTGGGCGTAGTCGACCTCGACAACGCGGCCGTCAGGGCCGAAGCGCGAGGCGAAGACCCGCCGCAGCCCCGACT